GGGGCAGGGCCAGAAGAGGCGCTGAGGATGGAGGTGGACAGGATCCTGCCTGTCCCTGGAGACATCAAACCGCAGAACGTCCACGTGGAGATCGAGCAGCGCTGGCACCAGGTGGAGACCACCCCGCTGCGGGAGGAGAAGCAGATCCCCATCACGCCCCTGCACCTCGCCCACGCCGAGGACCGGGAAGAGGGGCTGACCAAGCAGCACCTGACCACGCTGCTGGAGAAGGAGGTAAAGGGGTGTGTAGGGTGCAGGCTGCCTGCCAGAATGGCCTTCAGGCCACTGGGGTGACTGTAGGGAGCGTGATATAGGCTTAAAAATAGCTGTAAATATTCTTCCTTCATAACAGCAACTGGTAGGGGTGCTATAGGTTCCTTAGGGAGCTGGCAGGGAGCATATTCTGAATCCATTCCAGCCCTGCCAGCAGCTTTCAAGTTTCCCAGAGTTGCAGAAAGGGCTGTTCTTACGGCCTGGTAATTCCTTACCCCTCCCAGCCAACACAGCCTGATTTATGGTGGTAGTAGCCAGCCTGTCTCTGACAAAATGGGTAGAAATTCAAGCTCCTAATCCTCTGTGCCTCTGCAGCTATAGAGACCAGTGTCTGCATTTATGAACTGCCATGAGCTGAGCACACAACACAAAAGTTCCCTTTTTGTGGACCCTACATCAAATAGTCTTAAGATTTTTGGAAAAGAATGGAGGAGACTCAGCTCGCTTGGAAGAGTTCTGTGTCTGGGATAACAAAGGTTGTTGTTAGCTGGGATTAAGGTGTATTAGTGGGAATGAAAGGGGTAACCTTTTCTTATGGAGTAACCAGGAATATCACCGAGCTGAACTGGGCTGGGATTTGCCAGGGTCGTGCCTGGCACAAGCTGGTGCCGTTCATCCTTTGCTGCAGTGAGCTTTACGAATTACACTGTTGCATAAATAAGTTCTTTCAGAGGGGAGGGATTTTCCCGGCAAAATGAAATCCAGGTCCCAGAGCAGAGCAGAGCAGCGGTGCCATCAAAAGCTCCGTTAATTCTGCTCTGTGTCCCCTCCGAGCCACTTGTTCCTTATGGCTGATCCCCTGCCCACTCCCTGGACGCTGTCTCTGTTCATGTCCCTCCAGCTGGAGCAGAAGCAGAAGGAGGCCCTGGAGCTCCTGGAGCAGAACCGGCACCTGCAGGATCAGCTGAAAGTGGCTCTGGGCCGGGAGCAGAGCGCCCGGGAGGGCTACGTGTTGCAGGTAGGAGAGCAGGAGGAGATGGAGATCCAGATCCATCTTCCCTGTGCCCAAGGGATCCCTGGTGGGCTTCGATCCGTGGTGTTCATGGGGACATCCTGGGTGACCACCACTGAGCTCCCAGAGATTTGACCTTCTTGCAAATGTGGCTAATTCTGTAGCACTAGCAGAGTTATCTGCTTATGGAAACCTCTGATCTGGGATGGAGTAGAAGGTAGCATTACCTGTTAGCATTCCCAAGAGAAAACAAACCAGAGCCAGACAGATGGGACTTCAGCAAAGTCCACGTCTGATCCATCTCATATTGTGTTTGCCTTTGCAACAGCTGTTTTCCCCTTTCTGTGCCCCAGATTCTTCCCTCAGGCAGGAAGGTGCCCACAAGGCTTTCCAAGCATCCTGTAGCCCACCAGTTGTTCCTGGCTGGGGATTTTGTGTGCCCGTTACACAGGCAGACACAGGACACTCAGATGTATTTCCCGGGCACATTCCCTGCAGCCAGAGTGGGATTTGCACTGGGATGACCTGTTATCTTGGATCACTTTGGTGGTTTCTGCTGTCACAAGATTCCTCAGCAAAGCCTTGAAATGAGTTTTGGAGCATCTGACAAAAGAAACAGGATGATCTTTGGGAAAACCTTTCCTCCCCTCATCCAAACAAAAGTTTTTTCCAGCCCTTCCTCTGGGAACATCTATGCCCGGGGGGAGTTGTGGCACCTGCAGGCCAGCTTCTGGCTGCTCTCAGGGGTCCATAGTGTGTTCTGTGCAGGGGCAGCATTTTGACTTGCTCAAATCTACTTGACCAAACTGGCTGTGGATCAAAGTGGCCGCGCGCTGCCGCGCACTGCGCTCCTGCGGCAGCAAAACCCAGTGTCGATGCCAAACCTTGCATCCTTATTTCTCACAGGAAAATTTTCCCTGAAGAAGTTGCACAGGCAGTGGAGCCAGCCCAGGGAGGGGGACATCTTGCCTTCCTTGCCCATGATCTCCCAGGAGGAGTAATTAATTCATTTCTGGAGTCTCCGAGCTGACAGTGCCTGCTTGGAGGAGTTCCATTTTCACTTGGCAGAGCTGGAGGAGTAACTAAGTCCCACTTCCCTGGGGCAAAGGCGTCTGACCTCCCTTTGCCTGGAGCCTGGAAAAATCAGGGACTGGGGATAAAAGCTGGATTCTGAATCCACCATCAAACTGAAGTTGGCCACAGTGCCTTGATACAAGGAGGGGTGGTGAGGGGGACAGCCTGCAGAGAGGCTGAGCTGCAGAGAGAAGTTACCCAAACTTGGACCTGGAAGTTGGAGAGGGTTTTTGGAAAGGTTGGAGGTTTTTGCCTGCTCCAGTCTAATTGTTCTGGGGATTTCCCTTGTGTTTCCTGGGAACCAGAGGGATTAAAGTCCTATTGTAGAAGGGAGTAACCCCACCAAACCCTGCTGGGGTGGAGAGAGTGGAGCCACTGAGGAAATTCTGCAGCCAAACATCACAGCATTTTTTTGGACAACCCCTCTGAATTTCATGCCCTCCCACCCCATCATGCCTGATTTTGGGGAGGTTCCTGCATTGTCTGTTAGGAGGGCTGATAGAGAAGCCTGACTGCTTCCAAGCCCATCCCTCCTGAGCTGCCTGGGAGGCACCAACCCCTCCTTGGCAGCCTGAGCAGCCCCACGGGACCCCCAGGCACTGCCTGTTCCGTGAGGCAGTGCTGAGCCGCCCCTCCTATGCATGTGCCATGCACCGAAGCCTCTCCGGCCTCGTGTAACCCCTCTCTTGCTCTGAGCTTCCTCGGGGTGGGGCACCCTAACCTTGATCCCTACTGGGACAAACACCAGGAGCTCCTGCTCCTGGAAAATGGGCTGGAGACATCCCCTGCTCCGGCCACTGTGGGTGGGAGGGGGCACGTACTAACCTGTCCCAGACGGATATTCTTGCATGTTTTTGGTATAAAGCATGAAATTTAACTTAACATAACTGAGTGTCACATCTGTGGGCTTTCCTTAATCAGCAACCAGAGTACAGCAAGGCAGGCCAAATTCCTAAGCTTAACGCTGTGCTTCTCTCACCTCTTCCTGTCTGTGTATTTTTCTTTTTTAAGATACATAATTTCTGTCGCCTTTTGCATGACGCTTTCTGTGAGTTTTCTCTTTGCATGCTCCATTGCTTTGGTTTGAATCTCACAAAGGTTGGTTTCTTTCATTTTTACATTCTCATCACACCTTTTCCTTCCCTCCATTTGTTGGGCTTTTCATTTTGTCCTTTGTTGGTTTATTTTATTTTGCAGGTAGAGAAATTAGATCCTCCCTAGCCCTAAGCTTTAGCTTAACAGCATCTCTCTAAAACCATGAGCAGCCACTCAGTCTTGTTTGGCAGGCACAGAAATGACATCTCCACCATGATGGCTGGCCCGTCGCCCCGTGTATGGGTGGGATGTGATGTCATTTGCTGTCACCTCACTTTCTGTTGTTGCTTTTGGTCGGTGGACTGTATTACCTGAACTGTGCACTTTTTGTTTCACAAACAAACAAGCAAACTTGCTAAAAAAAAAGAAGTTCCTTTCTCCTCCACCTTGTTTCATCTCCTTCTCATCATCATCCTTGGCATTTTTCTTTTGTCTGTGTCTCTGTTTTGCTGCTGGTGTTTCTTTTTCATTGTTTTTTTATTCTGTTTGAGTTTGGGTTTATTTTTTTTCCATTTAGCCTGTTACTGTACAGCTGTTTTGATGTTGTGGTCAGTGTTTTCTGTTACTGGAAAGCAGTTGTCGCTCATTAAAAAAAAAAAAAAAAAAAAGTTGATCAAACAAACCAAATTGTGCCAAGAACAAATCATCCCATTTGGAGCAGTGGGTAGCAGCCAAGTCGCTGTGAGGAACTTTTCCACGGCCTGCCTGGCCAGAGGTGTGACACTCAGAAGGGAGAGCCAAGAGTGTTACTAATCTAGTATTTAATCAATTTTTTTAAGACCGAGGTGGCCGCCTCGCCATCAGGTGCCTGGCAGAGGCTTCACAAAGTCAACCAAGACCTCCAAAGCGAGCTGGAAGCCCAATGCCAGCGTCAAGAGGTGATCAATCAGCAGATTCAGTCGCTGAAGCGCAGCTACGCCGAGGCCAAGGACGTGATCCGGCACCACGAGGCCGAGATTCAGAGCCTGCAGGCGAGGCTCAGTAACGCGGCGGCCGAGCTCGCCATCAAGGAGCAGACCCTGGCCAAGCTCAAGAGCGACCTGAGGAGCGAGAAGGAGAAGGCCAAGGAGCAGCTGGAGGAGTGGCAGCACGGCGAGGCCGCGCTCAGCTCCCAGCTGAAGGCCAGCGAGCAGAAGCTGAAGAGTGCGGAGGCGCTGCTGCTGGAGAAGACGCAGGAGCTGCGGGACCTGGAGATGCAGCAGGCTCTGCAGAGGGACCACCAGAAGGAAGTGCAGCGGCTCCAGGACAGGATCGCAGACCTCAGCGGGCAGCTGAACGCCAGCGAGCAGGCGCGGGTCCTCATGGAGGAGAAGCTGCAGAAGAACTACGAGGCTTTGCTGGAGAGCTGTGAGAGGGAGAGGCAGGTTTTGATACGGAGCCTGAAGGAGGTGGAGGACAAAGCCAATGAGTATGAGAATCAGCTGCAGAACAGTGAGCAGCAAATGGAGATTCTGCAGAAGGAGAAGTTGAGCGCCAAGTTCGAAGGCAGCGAGCTCGTCCACCAGCTGGAGGAGCAGCTGGCCATGAAGGAGGCCAGCATCCAAAAACTTGCCGAGCACATCAAGGAGCTCGAAAGGGAGAGAGATCAGATCAAGTGCCGGTTCCACGAGCTCATGAATCAGGTGGCCGAGTCGGATAACGAAGTTGCAAAGCTACAAGCAAAGTTGAAAATGGAAGAGACCAACTACCACAATCTGGAGCAGTCGTTCGAGGAGGTGTCGGATCAGTTCCGGGGGGTGCAGGAGGTGCTGAAAGAGAAAGAAGAAGAGCTGAGACATGTTAAGGAAATGCACTTGAGAATTGTGGAGAAGAAAGATCAAGATCTCAGTGAGGCTTTGGTTAAAGTGGTTGCTTTAGATAGCAGTTTAGAGGAGACTAAAGTAAAGCTAAAGGCCAAGGAGGAGGCTTTAAAGAAATTAGCTAGTGTGGGCACAGGTCCATGTGCTGAGGAGGCAGAAGACCTTGGCCCCAGTCTTGAGGTGGATGAAAGTCATCCATCCCAACTGGGGCAAACTCAGGATGTCCTCCCAGCTCTGACTTATGCACTGAAGGAGGAGGAGGATGAGGTTCTTGAGACCAGTCAGAGGCAAGTGGAGGAATTTGGCTCCCCATCTAAAGTTGTAGAGCTCCAGGACCAAGAGTTGGTTCAGAAAGCTTTAGCAAAGCCTGATGTAGGAATCATGGGGGCCAAGAGGCAAAGGATCCGTTTTTCAAGCATCCAGTGTCAAAAGTACATCCATCCAGATGGATCAGAGAAAAACTGGACAAGCAGTACCTCTTCAGACACAAGCCAGGACAGATCTCTGTCTGAAGAAAGCATGTCCTCAGAGCCAGCTCTGGGTTACCCCTCATCAGGGACCAGTGATTCTGAGACTTATCTCTCCATCATCCATTCCCTGGAAACCAAGCTGTACATTACAGAGGAGAAGCTCAAAGATGTGACGATGAAGCTCGAAAGCCAGCACGGCCATAACCAGGAGACGCTCATCGCCCTGCACCATCAGTGGGCCAGCACGGAGTCCCAGCTGCGGGAACAGCTTCAGACCAGCTTGTCCCAAGTCAATGCTTTGATCTCACAGCTGGAGAGCGAGAGGCAGGAAAAGTTCAAGCTCATAGAAAGTCACGTCAGCGAGCTGGGAGGTTTCCAGATGAAAAACGATCAAGCGCTGACTTGCTTAGAGAAGTGCAGGGAGCAGCTAAGATCCTTGCCCAAATCAGACAAGGATAAAGAGGGTGATTTGTTCCTTGTTACTCTGTCTAGCATGGAAACAACTTTATCAAATGCAATCCAGGCCTTGAGCGGAGCACCAGTCCCATCAGACTATCAGCAGAGTGAAAGCCTCACCACGGAGAGCCCCGCTCCAGAAGGAGGGGATTTGGGAGAAGAGGAGCACATCTCCAAGGAGCAGCAAGCAGATGTGTTTGACACTGGCCAGCTGAGGTGGCTTTCTGAGAGGGTGGCATTTGAGGCCTCTCTCATCAACCAAATAGCAGAGTCTTTGAAAAATGCAAGCTCTGAGATAGCCCAGCTTCTGAGAGAGATCCAGGGAACGGCTGAGGTGGTTTTGTTGGAGCCAGCAAGTGTTTCTCATACAGCCAATGATTTGGCCAGTGTCCTGTCTAAAAAGCTGCTGCTGGAAGGGGAGTTTTGGAGCCAGGTGGAGGAGCTGAGAGCACAGTTGAGCACTAGAGAAGGAGAAGCTGAGGGTAAAACAGAAACAAGTTTGGGCATTTCCCCATGTTTTCTCAGTGCTGTAGCAGATGCTACATTGATCAAGGCAGAACTTGGGTTTGTTGCAGAGAAAATGAGAGAATCTTTTCATCAGAGGTTAAAAGCAATTGAAGAAGAGCTCCATAATACCAAAACAGCTCTCCAGCAGCACAAATGCATGTTGGAGGAGATCATCAAAGCATACAGGACTCCTGAGTTTGATGGAGTTATGCACCAGATTTCTGAAGCACTTGAAATTCAAAAAGATGCTTCGGAAAGAACCCAGATCTCTTGGGATGGGAGCCGTGTCCAAATGGTGCCGTGCCAGGAATTAGCCAAGGTGGAGGAGACTGGCAGTGCCCCAGACCGTAGTAGTGAAGCTCTTGTTTCCATTCAGGAAGATCTTGCCCAGCAGCTAAAGGACAAATCCAGTGTTCTGAAGGAGATATCTGTTGCCTTACTCTCTCTGCCTCCCGAGGAGGCCATGAGAGACTGTCAGAAGCTCCTGAAGATGTCCCAGAGTCTTTCCTACCATTCGTGCATGGGAGACCTGGAGCGGTATTCGTCTCTGTTAGTCCACGATGCCATTGTTCAGGCTCAGGTTTGTTACGCCGCTTGCAAAGTCCGGCTGGAGCACGAGAGGGAGATGAAGTCCTACAAGGAGTCCCTGCAGAGCATGGATGCCCTGTGCCAGGAGCGCGTGAAGACGGTGTCTCTCCTGCGCGACGAGTACGAGGAGCTGCTCAGGAAGCAGCAGGGAGAGTACAGCGAGGTGATTGCCGTGCTGGAGAGGGAGAACGCTGACCTCAAGGCAAAGGTGTCCCAGCTGGACAGCCAGCGCAGGCTCCTGGAGGAGGAAGGGCACGAGCACAGCAAGAGCTTGAGCGAGCTGCAGGGGCGCTACGAGGAGGAGATCCGGAACGTCATCGAGCAGCTCAACAGGACCGAGGATGCCCTGAAGGCCGAGAGGGTGGAGGGGCTCAACCAGCTGGACGCCGTTGTCCGCGACAAGCAGAACATGGAGCAGTATCACCTGGAGCAGATGCAAACGCTGGAGGAGAAATTCCAGGCCAAGATCAAGGAGCTGCAGGTCATCCATGGCGAGGAGCTGCAGGCGCTGCAGGAGCACTACAGCCAGAACCTGCAGCGCCTGCAAGAGACCCTCGATGAGTACCAGAGGCAGCACCCGGAGGCGTCCCCTGCGGTGGCCCCGGGCTCTGGGGACACCTGGGTGGCCAGAGAGGGGGGTGGCACCGGGCAGGACCCCGGCAGCGACCCCGACTCCATGCACGGCCTGAGGGAACGCATCCAGGAGCTGGAGGCCCAGATGAACGTCATGAGGGATGAGCTGGAGAACAAACATCTGGAGGGGAACGCTTCCACGTTGAGGGAAAAATACCAGAAAGACTTTGAAAACCTAAAGGTCTTGATATGTTTAACGCTTTCTGCCTTCTGCTGCTGAGCGTGTGGGAGGGCACGTGCAGTCCCAGGGTTTTCAGCCATCCCCTGAAACAGCCAGTGTGCTGAAACAAGCCCCAGGGTATTAGCCAGGCCTCTGTAAAGCATGGTGTTTCCTTCTCCATGCTGGGGTATTCTAAATGCATTGCTCAGGGCTTGGGAAGGTGGATTTCTGGAGGTGATCTTTGTGTGGAAAGGGAGAGAGAGAGAGTTTCAAAGTAGCTCAATAACATCACACTCTCCTTCAACACGAAGAACTCAGTGTTTCTCCTAAGTTTTGCTTGTGACTTCCTTTTAAAAGCATTCCTCAGCTCTGTCTTTCCCAGTCTGATTAAATCTCCAGTCTGTCTCTGCTGCCTTTAAAATTGCAGGATGAAATGGAAACTTGATGCTCTCAAAATGTATGTTCCTAGGGAAAGTAGCTGCAAACAGATGCCAAATTCTGTAGCAAAGCAGAGCTCCTCTGCAGGAGGCTGCGAGGACCATGCTGGTGTTGGACACAATAATTCTGTACGCAACAAAGAGTGCACAGTTACAGAACACCCAGGTGAGGTGCAGAGAAACCCACTGGCAATGAAATGCCCCCGTTCAAATTGCCCCAGCAGTCAGACTGGCTGTAAAACTGCTTTGAGATCATCCAGCATTTAAAAAAATTGGATTTGGTGGTTTGCTTTTCCTGGGAGAGCATTCCCAGTTCAGAAGTGAGTTTAGGGCTGTAGAGGACTCTGGCAGCACCAGGAGAGGCTGCCTGATTGAACAGGAAGCCAAAAGGGCACTGATGCAGAGGCTGAACCAGTGAGGCTCTCACAGACCAGTTGCTCTTAAGAATCAGCAAAAATGTGGGAGAGCTTGCTTCCAGTCACAAGATCCAGCACACATTTGAGCTGGGAGTGAAGTGTGGCTCAGCTTCAGCCAAAAGCTGGTTTTAGCCTGGGGAGAGCAGTAGTTTTGCTGAATCCCATTGGAATTAAGCAGTGGTGGTCAGAAAGCCAACCAAGCAATTGGAAACCTGCCCAAACTGGAGGCTTGAATGTGCTTAATTCTTCTCTTAAGAACCTGGAGAATGTAACATCAGTAGCACAAGCATAACTCCTCAAACTGGAGAAGAGAAGGCTCCAGGAACACTTTGGAGCCCTTACCAGTGCTTAGAGGGGCTCCAAGAGAGCTGGAAGGAACTTGTGACAAGGCATGAAGTGGCAAGACAAGGGGGAATGGATTTTAGATGAAGGAAAAGTAGATTTAGATTTAATATTAGGAAGAAATTATTCCCTGTGAGGGTGGTGAGGCCCTGACACAGGTGGCCCCAAGAAGCTATGGCTGCCCCATCCCTGGAAGTTTCCAAGACCACGTTCAAGGCTTGGAGCAACCTGGGATAGTGGAAGGTGTCCCTGCTTGTGGCAGAGGGTAGAACAGGATGGACTTTAAGGTGCCTTCCAACCCAAACCATTCTGTGATTCTATGAGGTACTGATTTGTACGTGTGGATTTATGGCAATGCATTTACAATACATTAAATAGTGAATCTACAGCCAGACCTATGGCAGAGTATGCACCTTTTTCTTCCAAAATCAGAGGTGTTTCAGGAGTTGGACTTGATGATCCTTGTGGATCCCTTCCAACTCAGCATATTCTATGATTCTGGGTGTAATGAAGAATCCTGCAGGGCTGCTCTGTGCCACAGCCAAGTCCAGGCAGGTTCTGGCACTGAGTTAGGAGTCTAAAAAACAAATAAACAAACAGACAAGGCTGGGAAAGAGAAGAATACCTCGGGATTAAAAATTAAATGGGAGGGAAAAAACCCACCAAAGCTAAAAATTGGGAATGAGGATTAGGTGTAGGTTACAGAGCATTACCCAAGAAGGTGATGCTGAGGGGTGTATGTTAGTGAGAGTCAATGGTGTTGGACTGTCAGGAGCACTTTTGCCACTAGGTGAGTGAATTTGTCCCCCTAAAATTTCCCATGGTGTCCCAGAGGTGACAGTTCTCACTTTCAATGGAAAACACTGGTGTTAGTCAAGGGGAGCTCAGCTGAAATCAGGGAATAAAGCCAGCCTGTGTCATTAAGGGAAAAGCCCTGTGCAGTGCTTGGCATCAGGTGTGTCCCAAGCTGCCTGAATGGGGCTCAGCACCTTGTCCCCAGTGTGTGTCCCTTCTTCCCTCGTGGCTTGGGCCTGCCTGTGGCTTTGCTGGTCCTGTCCGTGTCCTGCAGCCGTGTGTCCATCCAGGATCCCAATGTGCTTAGGCTGGCGGCTGAGCTGGGAACAGAAGGACCAGGCAGGAGTTCAGGACCTCACCCCTGGTGAATCCCAACTCCCCAAATTGCTCCTCCTGTGTCCTGGCTCGAGTTCTTCCCTAGAAATTCAATTAGCAAGTAATTTTCCCTGCAGCATTTATAGCAATACTTGGTTGGGAATTAAGATCCTGTTGCTGTCACGTCATCTTCCTTACACCCAGAGACTGAAAAAAAACCCAGGCATTGAAAAGAGCAGAAGGGGCACAGAAGGGTTTTTTTGATCGTTTTTTTGACACACATTTGCATTCCCCAACTGGGTGTGCCCCCCTGCATCTTTTTCCCTGGAGCTGTCAGGGGTCAGGCGACTGCAGGACAAGCCCTGACCTTGGCAAGGTCCATCGTGCTCCTTGGCTGGGGGAGCAGAAGATCCCTGCTGGACCTGGGGAGCTGAGCTGTGGCTCCTGGTGGGCTCCCCAGCACCGTGGCACCGGCCCTGTGCTCCTGGGCCAACCCTTGCCCTCCTCCCTTTGCAGGCAACATGTGAGAGGGGCTTTGCAGCCATGGAGGAGACGCACCAGAAGAAGATCGAGGACCTGCAGCGGCAGCACCAGCGGGAGCTGGAGAAGCTGCGGGAGGAGAAGGATCGCCTGCTGGCAGAGGAAACGGCTGCCACCATCTCAGGTGCCAGGGGACCCATGGTGGGGCAGCTCTGTGATGGTGGGGACATGGGGATGGTGTTGGCTGCATTGAGGAGCAGAGCAGGGGTGGGGTGAGGGCTGGGTGGGCTGCACAGGGAGAGGGGGACAGGCTTGTGAGAAAGATGTTTTAGGTGGAGGTCCATCTCCTGGTCATCCAGGTTTGGTACCCATCTGCTGGTTCTTCTCCAGGCTTGGTACCTCTGTCTTTGGTTGTTACACATTCTGATCTGTTTTGCATTCCAACTCCGAAAGGCATTAGTCATTCCTGTGGTTAAATTATTGCCAATTCCACACTGAATTAATTCTTCAGTGCCCCGGGGAATGTTGAAACACTGGAGTTCAGGGGCTCTGCACTAGGAGTCCCACAGTCCAGGAAACAATGTGTGAAGGGAACAATCATTTGGAACCTGTTAAAAAGCAGGATTTGCAGAATCCCCTTTGCAGCTGGGGCACAGACTGAAGGGGCTGTGAAGCAGTGGGAGATTTGCAGGGATATTTTGTTCCTTTAAGAAACAAACAAAAACTCAAAAAGCCAGCAGTGGGTGCTGGGTGCTGACCCTGTGTGCCCCTCGCAGCCATCGAAGCCATGAAGAACGCGCACCGGGAGGAGCTGGAGCGGGAGCTGGAGAAGTCCCAGCGCTCCCAGATCAGCAGCGTCAACGCCGACATCGAGGCCCTCCGGAGGCAGTACCTGTAAGACCATCCCTGTCCTCTGTCCCCATCTGCCAGGGACATCCTGTGTGGGGAACCCTTCTCTGCCATTTGATTCTGGCCATCAGTTTGGGGTTGTTTCTGCATCCATCAGAGCCTCCTGGTTACCCATAATCTTTCAGGCTCCAGGTCAATGTCCCCACATTACCCAAAATAGCTCCTTTATGGTCCCCAGAAGTAGCAGATGGGCAGCCAGTGCTGCTTTTCACACAGCTGCAGCAGCAGGGTCGTTTAGAAGGTGAGGAGGAAGCTCTGAGCTTTCCATGGCAAGGCTGTCCTCCCATGGGAGTTGAACAGGGCTGCCTATCAGCTTTATCAACCTTGATACATCTATATAAGTTGGGGAGGTGTGCAAATACACCTGGTCCTGAGTTCCCACAGCAAACTTAGAATACTGGGATGGTTTGGGTTGGAAGGGACTCAAAGCTCATCTCATTCCAGCCCCTTGCCATGGACAGGGACACCCTCCACTATTCCAGGTTGCCCCAAGCGCCATCCAACCTGGCCTTGGATACTTTCAGAGGTGGGGCAGCCACAGCTGCTCTGGACAACCTGTGCCAGGGCCTACCCACCCTCACAAGGAAGAACTTGGCTTTGGTAGATTTTGGTAGATCTCAGCTCAGTTTTTGGAAACCTGAGAAAGTTCTGCCACTTAATCTCTGAGAGAATGACCTCCTGTCCCCTTTGGTGCCCAAGCATGGCTCTGCCAGGAAAGGGAAGAATTGACTTGCTCTGGACTTGAGTTTTTTCCCCAAAGGGAATATGCAATCCTCATCCTCGGTGCTTAGCTCCCTGTTGGGTTGTCCTGGGATGCTGAAGGAAGAATGGGGATGTGTGTGTGTGGAGAGGGCACTACCCCCCCGTGTGTTGTGCAGGGAGGAGCTGCAGTCGGTGCAGCGGGAGCTGGAGGTGCTGTCGGAGCAGTATTCCCAGAAGTGTTTGGAGAACGCGCACCTGGCGCAGGCGCTGGAGGCTGAGAGGCAGGCCCTCCGCCAGTGCCAGCGGGAGAACCAGGAGCTCAACGCCCACAACCAGGTGAGGATCCCCGGCCTGCTGACCCTGGGCTCGGTGCTGAGCTGTGGCCCTGCTCCCCCTTCCCACAACGGCTCCTCTCCTCTCCCCAGGAGCTGAATAACCGCCTGGCTGCGGAGATCACGCGACTGCGGACCCTGCTGACCGGGGAGGGCGGGGGAGAGGCTGCTGGGTCGCCTCTCACGCAGGGCAAGGACGCCTACGAGCTGGAGGTGAGCTCTGCAGAGAGGCACAAGTGCTGTGTACCCCAGGAGCATGTCACACCTTGGAGCATGTCACAGCTGGGAGGTGTCGCAGCCATCTGTCCCCCAGTCGGCTCTCGTGGCTGGTCAGCACTGTTATCATGAGCTGCATCAGGCCAGGAGATTCTGGGGTCCTGATCTCCTCACCACGTTGAGCCAGACACTCACTCTTCCTTCTGCAGCCTCTGCTTGTCCCTGGGATGAAATCCATGCAGAGCAGTGGGGACAGAAACTGGGGTGTGCAGGGAGCGTGTCAGCTCTGCAAGCTTGGGCGAGTTCCCAAGAGAACCAGGAGGAGTTTTCTTGTGAGAAGCAAAACATGGGTGGACCAGAGGCTTTGTGGTGCTGGCATGGGGCTGAGCCTCCAGCCCTTGGGTACAGCAGGTGTCACACTGTGTCTGCTCAGTTGCAAAGATTCTGGCTTTTTGTTCCCACAGGTCCTGCTGCGGGTGAAAGAATCCGAAATCCAGTACCTGAAGCAGGAGATCAGCTCCCTCAAAGACGAGCTGCAGACAGCACTGAGGGTAATGCCAGGGGTGGTTCTGCAAATCCTCCTACTGTGCTCTGCTCCTGAATGTCTGTGCTTAGATTTCAGCCCATTTACACCTAGATTTGAAACCATATTTAATTTTTCCCCTGAATGTAATTCAATACCCATTTTGATGTCATCAGTAAAGCACTCCATGCATCAACTTAAGACTTACCCCTCAAAGGAGACAGTGTGGGAAAACATCCCTTTCAGCCTGATTTCCCCATTTACTGTCACACCAGATCAGATTTAACTGGCACAAACAATCAGTGTTAGAGATCTGCCCAGCCTCGCAGCGGTGGAACTGGTTTGCTCTGGACAAACCAAAGCCATTTCTGGGAATTCTGCTTGAATTCTGTGTCTTGGCTAAAATGAAAAGCCACTAAGAGCCCTGTAGCTGAGGGGCTGCAGGCACTGTGCTGGCCCTTGGCTCTCAGCTCTCTGCCTGTCTCCATTCCCTGTTGGAAGCAGCTCCAGGGGCGTGAGCTGCCCTGGCCAAGCCTCTCTCCCGCTGCCGGCTCTTCTTCCGTCGGCATTTGCCAAGCTCCTCTTGAGTGCATCCACAAACCCCTGGGCTCCAGCTGTCTGTCTGGCTCCATGGGGTTGTTCTTGTTCCCTTGCCAGGATAAGAAATACGCCAGCGACAAGTACAAAGACATCTACACGGAGCTGAGCATCGTGAAGGCCAAGGCAGACTGTGATATCAGCAGGTTGAAAGAGCAGCTGAAAGCAGCCACAGAAGCTCAGGGAGAGAAATCCCCTGTGAACACCACTGTATCGGGATATGGTCAGTCCTCCTCCAGCAGCTCCAAGCAGTCTTGGGTGTCCTGAGTTAACAGGGAATCCTGGAGTACAAACCCTTGTGCAGGAACGGGTCTGAGTGTAGGACTTGGCCTTCCAACCCAAAGCTGATGGGCTTTGAAAGCCTTCTGGTGTTTTGCATCAGGAAAACCTCATGATGCAGGGATGCCCAAAAGCCCCCTCTGCCCTTGGGCTCATTGGGGCACTGTCCTGGGCTGGGAGGGCACAGCCTCAGCCCTGTCCTTGCAGGAAGGCAGTGGGCACCAGGCTAATCCCACTTCTTTTGCTTCTTCCCAGATATTATGAAATCAAAAAGCAACCCTGATTTCTTGAAGAAAGACAGATCCAGTGTTAGCCGGCAACTAAGGAATATCAGGTCAAAGGTGAGCTCAGATGTCCTGCCCAGTGTGATGGGAGTGAGGAATGCCCAGCATTTCTCTTTGATGGGGATCCCAAATGGGAAGAAATGGGCAGGGGAACAAAATTAAGAATTTCCCAGCCACTAGTGCTAGCCTGGATGGCTTTTTACTGCAAAAGGACTGACTGGGCAGCCAGGCAGAGACCACTCCAGACCTTGCTCAGATGGAGGCATGAAGCTGCTCCCTGGTTGGGAAAAAGGCTGACATTCTCCTTATTCCTTGGTCTTTCACAGGAGGACTATTCCAGTATCTGCTCCTTCTTTTCAGCTGAAATATAGGTGGAAATATACCCATCATTCTAGTTTTAGTGTTCATCACTGCAAGATTTTTGTCTTTATGTGTATCAGCAATGTCTGGGTCCTGGGCATATTTAACACACACTTTGCTTGTGTGTTAACATGGTGCAGATGGCCCTGTGCTCCTGTGGTCCTTCTGTGCTTGCTGTTGGTCCCAAAGCCCAGTGATGCTGTGCCAAGCTCGCCTTGGCAGCCAGTTCCATCCTGTGGGACTGGGGATAAGGAAGGGCAAATAATGCTTATCAGGGGACAGCATTAAACATAGGGCACTTGGGAGGAAGCTCAGCATGAGCAAACCTGCTTTGCCTCTCACCTGGTGTCTCTTGCTGATGTTTGAAGTGGTTGGGCCCTTGCAGGGCAGGCAAAATGCTTTGAGCTTGGTGCCCACATGGGGGAAACACTCAGAGCTCTGTGAGCAGCAGCTCCTCAGCTCAGGGCACCCGGTGAACAGAGAGGGACTTTGCACATTTTGGGGCAGCCCAGACCTGCTGGGCCACTCTGATGCTGGGTTTCCCTTCACCACTTCAGCTCAGATCACTTTCTGTGTGGTGCCCATGTGTGTTGCTTGGTGGGGAAGGAGAGGAGAAGGAGCAGGGGCTGTGCCAGGGCATCACTGTGGGACGGGGGGCTGGGGCTGCGCCAGCGCAAATTCATGTGGGATTTATGAGCTTCTTCTTTTGTTTTTTTTTTTGTTCTTTTTTTTGTTTTATTTTGCTTTTTCCTTCAACAGTCCGTTATTGAGCAGGTCTCATGGGATAACTGAAATGAACCCGAGTCCAGGTTCCCTGCCACGTAGGTAAACACAGCGGCACCGCCCACGGCCCAACCTCTGCATGCACTGCTCACACCTCCCTGCCAAACTAGAGCCCTCCTCTCTTAATGACTGACTGACTGACAGGTTTATTCACTGCTAATTCTTCTCCTGGGTGAAGGGGAAGGGGAGGGGAGAAGTCAGTGTACCCAGGATCTGTGTGGAACAAAGTCTCTCTGCCTCTTCCCTGGGGGATGTGGCTTTTTGTCTTCCTGCTCTTCCCACCCTCACCAACACAGCTCATCATCACAGAGCATTTGGACATGGTGGGGCACGTTTTCTGTTTACTGTGTTGGGAGTGTGGGACACTGAGTGTGCATGCCTGGATGACTCTGCATGCCTCAGACTAAACTCCAGCACTGTCCAGGTCTCGTAGAACACCTGTTTTGCTGTTAGCCAGGTGCAGGAATAGTCTGGGATGCCTTTGAGTGCGCTGCCCATAACAGCCTGGAGCATGGAAAATGGTCTCAGCCACCTCAGCTGCAGAGGGAATGTCCTGGAGTGCTCTGATTTCCTTTACCCACAGTTGCTGCTTTTTCAGGTCGATCCATGCCTGAGCAAGAGCCCAGTAACCTTCTCCTCCTGCTCCATCCCTGAGCCTCCAAGGCTTCCAAGCTCATCCACCAAAAGGAGGGAGCTGATAAGAAATGAGGCTGATTCTAATGAGCCAGATATCTCCATTAACTGGAGCAATAGTGAATTTCCTGGCCCATGGCAAGGACTGAGGTGGGAGCACCTGCAGAGGCAGGTTAGGAGAGGGGAGCTCCCAGCACGGTGGGTGGAGAGCCCCAGGAAGTCTGGGGAAGATTCCTTTATCACAGATATCATCCTGCATTAGTCTCACTTCATCAGGCTCTCCTCATCAGCAACTGAAACGGTTGTGGGACTGCCTGGGGGCTGAATTTGCTGGAATTTGTGCCATCAGGCAGAACAGGCTGATGACTCCTGGTGTCTCTTTCCATCCACTGAGAAATCAGATGTGAGAACTGGAATGCATGAGCTGCTCCCATTTAAAGAGGCCCAAAGTAAACTTCCTTTAGGAAGTGTGTGCTCAGAGCCTCTCATCCCAGGAGACTCTGCTGCCCCTTGGAAAGAGAGCACTCAGCATTTGGAAATCCAGTCCAATTTAGTGCTTTCATTTCCATGCTGCCTGGCAAAGCCCTTCTGTGTTCGTGGGCCTGTGGGAGGAAAAACATTTCCAGAAATACAGTAACCATGGGAATCTGCACAGCCCTGGGGCAAGTTTATCATGGAGTCCTGCCTTGATAAATACATGGGAAGGAAAATGCAGCCCAAAAGTCCAACCTGCTGCTGTGGTAGAACAGCCAGGGAAGGGAGGTGGCTGCCTGATAGTAGGATCATGGAATCACAGAATGGTTTGGGTTGGAAGGGATGAAAAATCATCCAGGTTTCCAACATCGTGCCATAGACAGGGGCACCTTCCACTATCCCAGCTTGCTCCAAGCCCTGTTCAGCCTGGCCTGGAACATTTCCAGGGATCCAGGGGCAGCCACAGCTTCTCTAGGCACCCTGTGCCAGGGCATCACTACCCTCACAGGGAAGAATTTATTCCCTGTATCCCATCCATCCCTGCCCTCTGGTAATGGAAAGTTGTCCCCTCTTGTCCTGTCACTCCAGGCTCTCTCCAGTCCCTCTCCAGCTCTCCTGGAGCCCCTTTAGGCTCTGGAAGAGGCCCCAAGGTCACCTTGAGCCTTCTCTTCTCCAGGCTGAGCAATCCCAGTTCCTTCAGAGTTTCCTATAGAAGCTGATTTTCATCCCTGCACTCTGTGCCTTTGAAGGTGCCAGGGCTTGGTCTGTGCAGTGAATCATGTCCAGCTGCAGCATGAATTCCCTGCAAGTTCCAAGGACGGGGCTGGCAGGCAGAGCTGTGGGGCAGGGACAGGCAGTGGGGCACAGAGGGGCAGAGCCCTGGCTGTGGGGCTGTTTTAGGGATGGGAGGTGGCTGTGCCTCCTCATCTACAGGGACAGCTCACCACCTAATGCTTTGCTCTCCTCAGTCTCTTGTGCCACAGGTTTGGGGCTGCAGGAAGGAGGGTGCTGCCCTTGGGCTGGTGCATCCCCTCAGGCTGGTTTCAATTTAAAGCTGTCCTACAGGAGTCAGGCAATTTGTTTCTGGGTTTCTGCCCCTCTCAGTGCAATGCTGTGAGTCCCCATGTGTAGCTGATGGATTTTACAATTCCAAATGCCAGGGGGCTGCTGGCCAGCTGAGAGTTGTGCCTTGAAATCTGGATGCTGCATCTGAATTGGATCAGCCATGAGCCACATTTAGGATCCTCTGTCTAACTGTGAGCTGTCCCAGGGTGGGGTGGCTGAAGGGGTGGGATGGTCACTGGTAGCACACAGCAGTTTCCAGGGTTTCTTGAGCAAATCCTGCATGGAGTGGAGCCAGGACTGTCCCCATGGGTGCTGTATGGTGGGGCAGGCAGGGAAGGACCAGCCTGCAGGTCCTGCTCAGCATCCTGGGCCTTCAGCACAGCAGATCCCAGCTGATCTGCCTGGGGCTCCCCCACTGGAATTGCCCCATCCAGCAGTGCCCTGTGAGCCCGGGGCTGTCCTGGTTTAGGGCAAATTTGGGATAGAACCTCCAAAGGGGTTCTTCTAGAAAGCAGATTCAAGCAGCCTCTCCCCCAACCAGTTTGGGAAAATATTTCTGCATGCTTCTTCTTCCCCCCTTCACTCTCAGAACCAGTCTGTAAGGTGCAGAACTTATTTCTGGGCTAACCAGAGTGGGGATACCAGCACCATAAAGTCACCCCAGCACAGGGGTCATTCCCAAGTCAGCTAATCCTGCTTGCAGCATGATGTGCCTCTCATTGCTTCTGGTTCGTCGCCTGGTTCATCTGCAATCTCACCCTGTCTCCAGGCAGTAGCTGCCCTCCATAACCGTGTGTTCTCCTCAGCATGTCCCACTAATCCTCGCCCAGGATCCCACTCCCACTGCCACGGCTGCGCCCGAGCGCCGCCCCCGCCCCAACCCCGCTCTCTGTCGTTTGTGTCTCGCAGAGTCTGAAGGAAGGCCTGACTGTGCAAGAACGCCTGAAGCTTTTTGAATCCAGGGACTTGAAGAAAGACTAGTTCTCCCCGCTCCGCTTGACCACGCGCACCTCCCAGCTTGAGGCAGCACAGCACCAGCACCGTTTGTCTCTGTTCCTTACGATGTCCTCGCTGTCGTTGTCCTGACGCCCCGACGGGACCTGGCGGTGCCCTCCCCTCGCCTCCCCAGCTCCTTTCCCTGCTTGTGAGATGCTCCAGAGACTCTGAGAGGGAGAGGAAGGGATTGGAGTGGGGTTTTCCCCCCTCTCTTCGGCGCTTTGTAGGAGAATCCTTTCTTTACTGTAAACCATTACACTAAGTGTCAGTATTAAGGCTCAGCAGCCTGTTAATAAGCTATAGCTCTGTCGGGAAGAGCGAGCAGGGCCTGGGTGCTGTCAGCCAGACCGAGCTCTTACTGCTGTCTAGAGACCCCGTGCCCAGAGCACACAGGAGCCTGATCTAACCATTGATCTCCACTGCATTACTTGCACCTACAAGGGGGGAAAGCCGGGGGAAGCTGCCGGGGAGCTGAGCCGGCGCCTGCAGCCTGGAGGTACCACACTGACATCTCGCTGGAGAAGGCTGCAAGAAGTGATTCTCCTGCCCCGTGACTGTGCCGTGTCCTGAATGTAGGTGCCACCGAAGCCTGGCCAGCTTGGGTGGCTGCCCAGGTGGTTGTGGATGGGGAGCTGCAGCTACTGAAGAGCACCCTCGAGCCGGCGCCGTCGGCGCGTCCTCGCTCCCGTCTGCCGGTGGCCGGAGTTGGTGTTCAGGGGCCGAGCTGTAAGATCACTTTCTTGCCTCTGTTAGATCAAGCCCAGCACTCTCTTTAATTTTTTTTTTTTTTTTTTTTTGCTGTTACTCCCTTCCTCTCATCGAATCCCGTGTATCCCAGGGTCTGTGCGCATGTGAAACTCCCTTTTCCTAGTCAAAGGAAAGTAGAGTAGAAAGTAGAGCCAATATTGACTGAAAATGCACAGTGCTCAATGCATATAATGCTCCTTTTTTACCAGCTTCTTGAATTCAACTCTTCTTGTCAGCAGGGCAGCTCCTATTTTAATTCTTTAATCTTTTCCTGAAATAAAGATCTCAAAACCAGTATGTGCTTCAGACCTTCTCAGTCCTAATAGCTTCTGTACTTAAAACATACAATTTAGCACCATGAGGCAGATAAATGCATACAAACCAAGGGATGAGGAGCTGGTAGCCCTAGATGGTCACAGCCAGCTGAGCAGAGGCTGCCTAGGAGAAGCCTGTGCTGCTTTGCAGGTGTGGAGCTTCATTCCTGGATAGATCTGAAGATGCCACCTGGAAGTCACCAGGGCTGAAGGAGACTCCGGCACGTTCCTTCCCAGCCTGGTTGGGTGCTGAGTGACCTGTTCAGGCCGGGATGTGGAAGATATCCTGGCCTTCACCTGGAGCAGAGCTTCCTCTTGTCCTTCAGGCACACAGCCAAGGTTGAGCCAGCAGCTCCTGGTGCTTCCCTGCTGGTTTTGGGTCTGGTGCTTGGTGCAGGTGCAGCTCTCAGAGCCCCACGGGGCTGGTGAAGGACCCCCAGTCCTGCCAGGCTGGACCACAGCAGCTGCCAGAATCACCCTCATCCTCCTGGGAGCAGAATCTCTTTTTTTCCAGCAGCACCCTCAGCAGGACACGGTGTCACTGGACCACACTGGGAGTCAGGCTCTTGTCCAGCTTGTGTGGCCTTGCTTGGCACTGGTCCTGCCCAGAGGAGCCCCTTTGTGCCCAGGCAGGATGGCAGCACCTTGCAGGGGACACAGCAGGGATGCTCTGTGTGCATGGAGGCCCTGGAGGTGGAGCAGGGCAGGAAAGGTGCTCGTCCTGTTGGACACAAAGCCTTTCCCTGGTCAGCACTGCCCTCAGGTGTGTGCATGGGCAGCCACTATATCCGAGCTCAGCCCAGCACTTCCATGGTCTGGAGAGCCTGGGGACCTTCCTGGGGACCCACCTGGATCAGCCCTGGCTGCTCTGCTGTCTGAGGTGAGCTCTGATCTCCTGTGGGAGGCAGCAAGGGTTTGGGATGGCACATGGGCCTTGTCATTGTCATTGCTTTTCCCTTACCAGGTGTCACTGGCTCTAGGAGAACCCTCCTGCTCCTCCTCCTCCTCCTCCTCCTCCTCCTCCTCCTTCTCCTCTCCTTAGACTCATGGTGGGACTTTGTCCTTTTCAGCCAACCAAGCAGAACATCCTGGTCTCCTCCTTGCCATGTGGACCCTGCCCTTTCTTAGATTCCCCAGAAAATCCCGCTCATGTGCTCCAGCTTGTAGGAGCAGACGTTTTCCATGGGCTCCTGGAAAAATAATGGAGAATCTTGGTCAGCTGTAGAGCCCGGGCTGAGCATCATCAGGAGCAGCTGCACCCTCTGGGGCAGTGCTTGGGGAGATGTCTGGGGGTGTTTAGAGCTGTGAATTGTGGGGGTCGCTGAGAGGAAGAGGAGGGAGGAAGGTCCCTTATGCATCCAAATGTTCTGAACCTGTGCTGAGGGCTCTGGGCTCGCTCTGGTGAGTCTGAGCATCTCTCCAAGGCCAGGGGCAGCACTTCTGCCTTTTCTGTAAAGAAAAAGTACCTGCAGCACCAATAAACAGCCCCAAGCTGAAATATTCCTGCTGTAGAGCCCAATACTTGAAAATGAAGGGACAAATCCTTTTACTCATACCAATGATCCTCATTTATCCTCCTGCCTCTTCCTGCTCCAGGCTTCATCCATTTTTTGGGATTAATCAGTGGCTATTTAAGTTAGAAATTGTGTGGGCAAGCTGCTGCATTCTGCATCACTCCTCACTATTGATAGCACCAAAAAGGGAGGTTTAGGAAAACTCAAGTGCAGCAAAGGCACAGGTCTTGGAGCCTTGTTGGCTCCAAGTAATCTTATTTTTCCTGAGTAAAATTTTCCTCCCATTTGCACCATCTCCCCTGAGCCAGACAGAATCCTTCTGTAAATGTCACCTTTTCTTTGCCCATGTGTTAAAAAAAGAAGCAAGTTGTGTTCATTTGTTTCAAAAATAGAATTGCTTAGAATTGGTGCTGGCTTGCAAACCAGAAAATTCCCTTTTTATGGTACCAGGGAGCTGGCCTGCAGTAAAAGTGCTCACATTTTGTACCTGCTCTGTTTGATGGCACTTCCACAAGACCTTTACATATTTATCCTGGTTTGGATACTCAGTTTGTTGTGGTCACTCAAGCACACTTCCTGTGGCTTGCCTTTGCTCTGTATTTTTTCCAATTTTTTTAGGTAAAAAAAAAAGCTTTCTTATTCTTCTTTTTTAAAAACAAAAGTAATTTAATACCTGTATAGTATTCCAAGCAGTGCAGTGTAAATATTTATTCCTCAGCAGTTTGCAGAGGGTTCTGTTTTGTCACTGAGTTGTGGGTTTGATTTTTAAGTCTTGTTTTAGCACAGAGGCCCTTGAGTGGGTTGGGAGAGGAGGAATGGGTGTAACGAGTCCAACCCACCCCACCTGCCCTGATAAACTGCTTTTTGAGGACTGTTTAAAAACCTTTTCAAACCTTTTCTGCTGATCTATGCCTTTAGCTTTGCAGGCACCTGCCTGAAGATGGTGTACACTCTGTTTGACCACTGTAACCTTCTTTGCTATAAATTTGGGGTATTTTTTCCACTCAGAGGCCTCAATAACCTTGTGTTTGATGGCAGCATCAGTGCTGTGCATGTGCAAACTGTGCCCTGTTGGTACAGAGAGCACCAGCAGCTCCCTGGCAGCCACAGCCCCCCTGCACACACAAAAACCACACAGCAGCCTGGCCACGAGCTGTAACTCACTGAGTAACTTCCAACCAGTGGAAATGCAACAAGAAAAGTGAAAGCATTGCTGCAGACACAGCAGCAATTTACTTTGTAAATATAATTACCTAACTTTACATTAACTATATGGTAATAAACTATTTTTGCACCACCCTTTGCACGCTGTGTGTGACAGGTTTATTTCTAAAAAGAAGGAAGAACAGGTCAGAGCATAAAAAAGGAGATGGTTTTTATAGTCACACTTCACATAGGAAATGTAACAGGCAGCATTTTAACAGCAATAATATATTTTAAATAATTTAAATCTAGTGCTGCTGAATGGGATTTATTGGAGAAAGACCTTCCCTAGGTGCTTCCATACAGGTAACATCATTTTCTTTCCCCCATGAAAGCTTTCTCAGAACAGAACAAATCTAAAATCTGGGGATGTCCATGGATCATAAGTATCTTAATAAGGATCTACAGGAATTGGAATGAAAAAGTCAGATGAGGCTGTTGATGTTTTCTGTGAAAATGGTTTATTTAACAGTGCCAATCACAGCAATACTGGTAAAAAAATAGTAACAGAATACAAAAACCTCTTTTCATTTTGAGAGATATTAAGGCACTTTCCATTCAGTATAAAACAATTCTTTCATCGACACTATTTGGAGTTTGAAATTCTGAGGTTTTTACATCATCTTTGTTCCACCCTGAGCTGTGGGGACAGGGATGTCACCTCCCTCCCCTCACTGTCCCCAGGCTGGTGCTGCCAGGGGAGGGCACAGACCATGACAGGCGTCCCAACACCTGAAAGAACCAGGTGGGATTTCCAGAGCCCACCTGAAGTGGTGACCCAGCTCCAGCCGTGTCTGCTCTCCAGATAAACCCTGATCCCAAAGAACCATTTCTCTCATTTCCTTCCACAGCTCCCTGCACTTCCTTGCTGGGGAGAAGCTGTCATTACCATCTGTGCTCATCTTTTACACCAGAGCTCTGATAAGCTTTAACCAAAAGAAACAGGTACATAATCAAAACTTCGAAATTGTTGCTATTTCCCAGGAATTTCCTTTTACCAACTTTCAACAATTAATGCCAACAAGAAATGTAACCAAGGCACTTAATCTATAGAAACTCTTAACTCTGCTGTAGCCCTCTTATCTCTCCCTACCTTTTCAGTGTAGAGGAGCCCTTGGGCTACAATTCCATTTGGAATTGGCTACAATTCCATTCCATATCCCAAGTTGAAAATGTTCCTTTTACCACTGAAACACACGGTCAGCACTGCAGGAACACACCAGGTCTGCACCAGGGCACAGCAACGAGCCTGCCCAAAGTTTTAATGCCTATGGATGCAGCTCTGTCACCTTCACAATCAAACACTTGTGTCATTCCCTCTAGCACGGGAATGACCCACAGCAAGGGATCTGTGGCATTTTAGGGCAGAGAACACTTCTCTGGAGACATTTACCAAAGTTACACCCAGATGGACAACACAATGATGTCTATGCATAATAATAATAAACTCTGTGGGTGTTACCATGCTCCACTAGCCCTGCGAGGCAGCTCTATAATTTACTGCCTTTCAGAAAAAAACCTGTAATTGGCAGGATTGTACTCTTCCCAAATCCTTTCAAACTCCTCCTGGAAAGCCTTCACGTACTCGGCGTCCTCCACCACCAGCACGTTCTCGCGGTTGCTCTGGATGGCCTGGGTGGTCCAGTTGAGGGAGCCTGTGATGAGCATCCTGCGGTCCACGATGGCGAACTTGTGGTGCATGTAGCCGCTGTGCTGGTCGTGGCGCACCTGGATCCCTGCACAGA